TCCATTATTGACTTTCATCTCTGCTTTCGTAAAGAAGTAGCAGGTGATGTAGATCTAACAAGGAGTTTTTATTGACACATAATTTAATAAAACGTTGTTTCAACTTAGCACTATTGTTTTCCTTTAGGCAATATTTATCGTAATTAAATTGGATGGAGGTATTTTTGTCTATGGGAGGTATTTAGGCTATTAACGTGTAGCGAAATGTTATCTGTTAAACGAATGGAAAATACAGATAGACAGAAAAATATATTACTGAAATATTGAAGTTGTTTTAAATGTTATCTTTAGGTTCAGTTTATAATATCAAAAGAAGTGAGGGTAAAAGGAAAACAATGAAATGTGAATTATTTTTTAAAATAAACATGGCGCGGTTCAGTCGATCAGCATACAAGGAGGGAAATGAACTGTATCTTCTATTCTTGAATGATACGAAGTTATAAATTCAGAGTATATACAGGGTGTCTCATAATTAGTGTCCAATAATTATTTATCACTTGATTCTAAAAAAATTGGGCAAATTTTAACCGACGACCCTCCCAATTGAGACACGTTCACTAAAATTGTTGAAAAATTTTATGATGATCTATTTCCACTTTTAATGAGCGTTCACGATGTAAAAATTCATAATTTTCCTTCGACCCATTTCGGAAATATTTAAAAAAAAATGATTTTTTTGAGGCCCTATATAGGGGGGCATAGCTCCCTTAGGAAGCATTTCTCGACCCATGTTAATTTTGGTAATTAAATGGTAATTAATTATTGAATACTCATATGATGAGATACCCCGTATATCTAACTAGTAACAATAATACCTAATGTGAGACTATGGAGTAAAGTGAACTTGGTTTCTTGTAAGTTTCGTTGAATTTGTTAATTGTGTACTTATACAATTAACAAATTCAATTCAGACAGTTTGTTTTTTTTTGTTTTGTGAAAAATTCTGTTGGCTATTTGCATCACATAATCTGAAAACCAGGATAGATAATGGCCCTATTTTTAATGTGTCGATAAAAGGGAAAAGTTAATTATTACCTTCGTAAGGAAACGAGTATTAATTTTTTAAATGTTTTTTTTTACTTATACGTCGTTGACAACTTATTTATTATCTAATCTAATTCATCAATCATTAGCAACCAGTGTTTTGGAAATATTGGATGGGACCAGTTCTAGAGGCCCCTCAGGAGCTGTTTCGTCCGTAGCGGCCTTCGACCCAATAAGAACCGAAATGAAGATCGTGGCGAGCCTAGGGATGCAAATAGCAGGTCCGCCTCCCACTGAGCCTAGCCCGAGAGCAACAAGGGCAGGTCAAAGATCCCTAGCTAAGGCTAAGGAAGTGAAAGGAATTTATGTAACTGGCGGTGACCAAGTATGCAGGCCACGACATAACAACCCGAAAAATCACTGTATTTAAAGCCTTATAACCAGTATTAATTCAGCCTGAATTTTTTAATAAAATTTATATCCTGCGCCGTACCTGTTTCATATTTGATGGTACAAATTTTCGTAAGAAATGGTATGAATGTGTTCAGAGCTATAACAATTTTTTGTAAGTGCCACTTTGAGAGCCAGTATTATTTTATTGACATGTCTGAACAGGTACATTATTAAAAATTTTAATCAATCATTAGTAGGTTGTCATAATGGGTGCTAAATGAACGATATGAGATGAATTCAAAATAATCCCCTTCTCCCCTCAGATGTTGAGAAAAAAATAATTCAGGAATTACGCACGCGGCAACGTCAACTTTAATGCCTGAAAATTCACGATAAAAATATGAATTGGTGTAGGTATATAGATACGATTGAACGATTGATGTGTTTCGAAATAAGTGAAAAATTTTACGGAAAACGTGAAAACACGTGCTTATATTTTAGAAAGGGCAAATCATTATAAAATCTGGAGTCCTCGATTGGAACATTTCATTGTGAAAGCTTTACTGGGAGCTGAAGGAGAAATCGGTGTTAAACAATTTCCTACGATAACCGCTTATATGAAGCAATATTGTGTAGGACACCATATCAAGAAATCAAAAGAATACAGGAAAGATGAAATATACAAATTTATAGTTAATAATGGATATTTAATGAATAAGGATTTTTTTTACTGTAAACTGCATTTACAGTAGAAATTTCCTAATTTTAAGATGTGGCATCTTTTAGCATTGCTGATGCGCACAGCAGGAACGAGTTTTACAAAATGTGTCGGTCGATAGTTATAATTACAACTTCACGAAGCAACAGACCTCGAAATTTTTATTATTGAAGAGAGATTTAAAAAATTTGTTTGAAATTTATAGAAAATACATGACCGACTGTTCGTTAGTTACCCTAATGGAAAATCATCTGTCTATAGATATAGAAAAATAACAAACAAAATTGTTAGATATCTTGAGTTATTCAATCCACAGGAATATACGAGTCATACGTTTAGATTTAGAAGGTCACCTGCAGTCATGGTTGCAGATGCAGGGAGGGATGTTTCCAAGTTGAAAAGACATGGTATACGGATAGTAGAATTTTACGAAAAAGAGTTAACCCATCACAAAATTGCTGTATAAGATAAAATTTATGCAATTAAAGAAATGCTCTCATATAATGCCAGTACTGCTACTGATGTACTGTCCACAATATAGATGAACTATGGACTACCTAAAATTTCTAGTTAAAATTGTGTTAATTGCAGGATAAACGTACAAACTGATAAAAATGAATAATATAATATCTCTACTCCTCATTCTAATTACGAGAATTAGCCCAGAAGTCGGAGACTTGTGCGGGAGAGGAGGCGGCATATTATTATTACGCAGGCCGCATTTGCGATGATTACTAAAATTACCTTATTACTAAAATTACCTTATTTCAAAGACACATTTGTACAGGGTCATTTTACATAACATTCAACTCACTTTTTTATCTGTTCATTTAGAAAAAAATAGCAGAGACCAAAAGTTGTTCCTTTATAAGAGAGCTGAAGGATTGTTTTTTTTTTTTGTTAATACTATAAAAACAATTACTTATTGCTATTCAGGCACAACTACTGTTACCTTATTATTAGAATTGTTACATTGTATTATTAAGTAACTATACCAAAATATTATGCAAACTGTTAAAGCTAATATTTCAATTGTCCCAAAATTCACGCAAGATTGAATTTTCAGCCATTTGTGCGGTAAAGTATTGTCAACGAAAAAAAAAGACAGCCTGACAGATTACAGTTCAGCATTATTAATAATGTGTTACACTAAAGAACAACTCGTTTTCAATGTTGAGCAATATTTTAAAAGCTATAAGTTTCCAATCTTCATACAAAGTATGGTCGGAATAGTGCTTCAACTTCATCAGCTACTGTGAAGACTAATTGAAAAATTCAGGGACACTAAGCACCCAGGAACATCAATTCAGCAACGTGGGTGTGGTCAAAATTTGGATATTTCGAGAAGGTCTCTCAAGAGATTTGTATCTTCATACATACAAAGTTCAACTGACTCAAGAACTGAAGCTTATGTATGGAACAAGTGGATGCTGATTTTTCGAACAAAATCGTCTTCAGCGATGAGGCATATTTTCATCTCGATGGTTTCGTTAATCGACGAAATTGTCGCAGCTGGGGTTCAAAAAATCCACGAGTAATTGTTGAGACACAAATGTATCCACAAAGTGTCACTGTTTGGTACAGATATTGGAGTGAATGCATTATCGGACCATTCTTCTTCGAAAATGCAACTGGTCAGGCAATAATGGTTAATGTTATCGCGACATGATAATTAAGTTTTTTGGGCCTAAGTTGCAAGATATGAATGTAGACATACCGTTTCAACAAGACGGTACCACATGCCATACAGTCCGAGAAACAATTCAATTACTGCATGAGTCATTTCCTGGTCGTGTAATTTCCCGTTTTGGTGATCAAAATTGGCCGCCCAGATCATGCGATGTCAAAAAGCCCAGGACTTCCCATGCCTTGAAGGAGGAAATTGAGCGATGCATGGACGAAATTCAGCCGCATTTTTGCAAAACGGTCATGGAAAATTTCGACAAAATAGCGCGGGCGTGTCAGCAAAGCCGTATATGTCATTTACCCAAACATAACCCTATACTGTATACTTCATGAAACAATAAAACAATTACCTACAATTTTTAATTAAAAACCTACGTTTTCTGTCAAAATTATTTCTTGCTTGAATTTTGGGACACCCTAATTTGCCCCGAAGTTGTTCCTGTATGGTAGTAGATAAAAAATAAAGAACGACCTAATAACTTATGTGGCTTAAGGAAGAAAATGTTGAAAGCAGTTAATACTATCAACAAGAGTGTTATGTTATTTGTTTAGAACAGTATGATGGGATACTTTTTACAATATAAGATTTTTTCCCAGACATTTAAAATATTGTTTAGTAAATTTAACAGTTGTAGTTCTATAGCAATCTTGACGTTGTTTATTGTGGAAAGTCAGTAAACAGATGAAAATAGTGCAAACTGTCAAGGCAAATGTATGATACTGTAGGTATATTATAATCAGAAATAACTGCAGATTGCCAAAAAAATGACAGAATATGCTATGTAACAAACCATAAGTTTAGTTTATATCTGCAAAATGCTACATTCAATTTATTTTTATAACATCTTTAATATTGCAAAAAATTACTACGTTTTTGGCCTTTACCATTTTTTTTCTAGATAGAAAGATAAAAAAAGAATGTTATGTAAATGATCCTGACACTGAAAATTATATAAAAACTGCCACTTTTGCCACTATCTTAGATAAAAGTATATTTGAGTATACAGAAAAATAAAAATTCTAGGGCCTCCTGTCACATTATCACGAACGCACTGTACATTTATTGAACTAATTTCCTGAGTCACCGGGGTTGGAAGTTTGAAATAGTAATTTCTGCGAATTTCCAAAGGAGGCACGAAGATCAGAATATAGTATCGCATTTTTATTCGCACAATTCAGGGCTGATGCTATTTAGGAAGTTATTAAGGAGAAAACTCACCCCGGCACACCTGGTTTTCTGAAAGCATTAGATGCTTGTCGGGCTAATAATATACCGTCGCTGTTGTCGCAAATTAATCGTGACATCGAGGCTTTCCGAAGTTCAAAGAGCTGATCTGAAAGAAAAATAAATAATGGATAAGATGATACAACACTTGTTTAGATAAATGTATTTTAAAAATATGAAACACATTGGTTACTTATTAGTGATTTAATAAGTTACACGCGAAGGAAAAACTTATGGAAAAGATAGAATTAAATAACAAATGTTTCCGACACACAGATTAATCAAGTTATATGAAATCAGGCCCCTGGAATATTTCTTTTAATTATGAAATAACAACCTGCGAAAATTAAAAAACATACAATTTCAGTTGAACATGACATGTAACATGATAGTTACTTACGTAAAAAAATAATAACTGAAGTTAAATAATATCCAAACATGTATCTGTGGTGGTCAATAACATTACACTGCCTATCACTGTAACACTAATCAGATAAATATACGAATACAATAAACACTAGTTACACAATGATTCACTTTCTAAAAGCAAAACAGTTTTGAAAATTAAGCTTTTGTGCCCATCTAAATGTGACATTTATATTTTATTTTTTAATTAAACCAGAAAAGCACCTAAAGAATAAACTTTCTTATAAATTAATTTAATTTAAAATTTTTTATAAATCGAAATAAATACAATAGAATATTAAAACATTAATCATATTTTCTGTGACACCACCAATAAAATCGTTTTTGAAAAGGACACATACATATATTGCTACCGGTGAAATTTCTTGGATATTGCATAGAAAAAGACAATATTGTCCATACATTCATCCATCCCTGTCCTTATAAAAACTCAGATCTTGTATAGGCATATTTTAACAGTTTCGAGAGCCCTTGTTACATTTAGGTAGTATTTTTCGTTTTCAAATCCACATTTATACGAGTATATACCGCGTAGTAGCTGATCAAATTAGATTAACAGGGACAATAAAATACAGTTATCAACACTCAGCTAATATTTTTATACGATTAATAACTTAATTGTTTCTAAAGTTTACTGCAAATTGAAAAGAAAAATATTATAACAAGAAATATGTGCCCTAAAAAATTAAATTAAAAATTGAACTGGGGTTAAACTAAAAACACCAGAGTAGAGAAACAAAATATCTGTAAAATACGACTTAAAATGGTTTTAGAATGAAGAAAAACTATTCCTTTTGCAGGGTCGAAATGTCATCTGCCTGTTTATTAGAGTCCGGTGGTTACTATATAAAAATATAAGCGACATATATAGCCTAATTAGTAATTAGACTATAGGGACTAATGAGGTTGTCACACCACGTCCCATAAAAGAACAAGGAAATGATATTAAAACAATTCGTCATTTTTATCCTAGTTAAAGCTTATAAATGTTCTTAATCATAAAAATACACAATGTTCTTTACATTTAAAAAAGGCTAAACGCACTCTGCCACTGCTTCTAATGACCGGACGTTCGTTCTGTTTTTGTAAAATCAAAGAATAACCCTGCACTCTTGCATCCGCTATAATTTCGTTAGGGAATCCCACCCCGGAGGCCAGTCGGTACGTGTGGCCACAAAGGACTGTTTGCCATTTATTCAATAGCAGATTTTTTATTGTAGTCTATGACGGCCACGCATAAAGGATTTTCAGCACAGTGAGATGTTCTACTATATCTTTACCTTTTGTTTGAATTCAATGTGAAGTTTACAGTATTTTACAAGTCCATGTCATAACTTCATAAGGTTAATTCTTGAATATTTTAATAAAATGTATATTTTATTATTAGCTTCTCAAATTAAAATCATCATTATGCACAAATTGGAACTTCTTAAATACACAGTTGTTTGTAGCCGTGGCATGCCTTAGAATTACCAACAAATTATGGAAAATCACCAGTGCCAAGTAATGATTTTCAAAATTCAGAAAATTGCATTCATGATACTTAAAAATTTCGCATGTTTCGAAAACTTGCAACAATCCTTCAACAGACCTACCCCCATAGCGCAACTTCCGCTAGCATAATATAAATTCAAGACAAGGCGCAGCTCTTGCTAAATAGTATCTAAAGATAGACAAACTATAGCAGACAACCTACTACGCCACTCCTAGGACGTTCACATTTCGCCAATCTTTCCAATGTTTCCCGCTAAGACCCCACATATGTTGCGATTGCCGCCACAATCATCCTAGACGCACCCTACGATGCTACCACGCATGCCACAGAGCGCTGCACCCCTTCAACTGCGCAGAGTTATCAGTAAATTTCATGCATGATTTAAAAATTCTGCCACCACAATGACGAGGAAGAACTGATTACCGTCAACGCGCCCCAGATACCCTAGATGATGTAAACGCGCATGCGACACACCTATCTTTCCAAAATTTTTCGCCAAAGCCGCCAGGTTGACTATTGTCACCAAAAGTCCCTCGTTTCTTCGGACGATGACAACGACGTATGTCCGAGGCTGCCAACAGCATAAGGACTCCAGAATTTTCGCTAACCTTTCCAAGATATAGCGAAAATAAAGACATCCCAGAATCTTCAAACTCGCACCCCTAAATAACCATTTGGCGAAATCCACATCACCGGCGTACCAACGTCAGTGCAGAAACACGACAGTTTAGAACCACCGTACGGATATCTGGCCAAGTAGTAGTAGTAAAGGGGCGGCCTCAGCCTGGCAATTAGGCCACGAGTGGGCCCTTTTTGCCTACCCCGCCGTCCCATCACCTAACCACTCTCTGCCTCTGACCCTCCTCGAACCTACCCGACGCCCTAATGAACGCCAGGATTTTGGTCCATGGAAGGTCTCTCACCTCAACCCCTTGCAGCTCTTCAGCACCAAAGACTTTATTCTCCCAAAGGCTGCACACTGTCCCAGAAGGTGGACAAGGGTGTCCTCCCCTTCGCCACATTTCGGGCATAGAGGGTCCTCCTCAATTCCTATTAAGCTTAAATGCCTCCTAAGTCTGCAGTGGCTTGTCAGAACCCCCACCATTTGGATATCTGGCCAAAGTGGTATTCGATCTAATTGTTTACTTGTATTGTTTAAAAAATATCAACATTTCATTCCATTAACAAACTTAATGCATAAATAAGGCTCACAAATTCCTAAAAAGCCATTTGGAGTTATAATTCTCTCAAAAATTAACAAACCGAGTTCAATCACTGCAAAAAGACATTGATATTCAGACACCAGAGCAGACCTGACACTAGTAATATAAACATAGTGTAATCATATACAGGGTTCAGTCAAAAACCAGTTACAGACAAACATTTAAATCATGCAAATATTCACGTTCAAAGTGCAAATGTCCAAAGTACGTTTTAGGTCACAAAAAATTTGAGTGTGGGCCATTATCCCACAGCCAAGCCTAATCCCGTTATCAATGGAGGAAGAGCGAATGTCTTCACGTCATCTATCCCTAACGTTGCTTGTGGTAAGCGTAAAGGGAGAAACACACGAGCTTCCTGGAAATCTCCTTACCGGCGAGCTGGTGCATAACATTCCAGCACCCCAGGTGAAAATGGAACCAGATCCAAAAGCTCCATCCGATCTCATTATTAGGATTTTCGACCCTCTCAGCTTGCTGAGGGTTAATGATGATAGGTCAAATCCATCGCTAGGCAGTCAGACCAATCAAAAATCATAACCAAAGTAACGGACCTATCACAATCCAAGACAATAGCATACTTCGCGAGTGCAATGAAAATTATGATGTAGAGACCTCTCGGCCTATAAAAATTAGAATAGATCAGCACAAAGATTATTAAAAAACGAGAAATTGATAAATCAAAAATTTGCAAACACGCTTGAGAAAACGATTATATAATTCCATTGAGTTCGTCCAAATTTTGTAGAAAGAAAATTGGATCCTTGGTGGCTACAAATACTAAAAAATTGGGTAAGTAATAATAGTAATAAATATCATACGTTATATCTAAGTTTGGAATCAGACAAAAATAGATACATTTCAACTGTCAAAAATAATGAAAAACGAATCTTCATTTCGATTAGGCAAAACTATTACCATAAAAATAACCTTTAACTGATCCTTTTGGCGGAAGGCTATATTTAATTATATTTTCCACAGGTGACAAAATACCCAATAAATAATGAAAATATCGATAAATAAGTGACATACTAAACGGCAAATAATTACCAAATAGGCGTGTCGTTTGAATTCGGTTTTAAACTGATTAATAATATTGTTGAAGGCCAAGAAAAATATTATTTCGTAAAACTAAACCATTACCTGTAGAGAAATGACCTGGGTTGATGCTAGGTGCATTTTCAAAGAAATACCTATCCCCTTTCTTTAATCTAGAGAACTGTTCGGCAATAATATCCTTAAAGGTTGGCCCTAGGATGCTTCCAACAGCTTTCTCCTCAAGTAATCCTCCAATCCATAAGTCTATGTCATCTACTGTAGCATACAGATTACTCAGTTTAGCTCCTTTCTGAAAATTATAAAATATATTTGTAGGTACATTGTAAAAAAAAATCACTCAGTTTCACTCAATTTTACTCAATAAATGTATCAATTTCGTTCCACACCCGATATTCACTCTATTAGTATGAGTACAACTAAAATTCTACGAGTGAAACTATTGCAACAGAAATGAGTGAATCCGAGTTTGTCCTATCAAGTGAGTGACTTTTGACTCTATACTGAGTATATAAAGCCAATTAAGAGTTGACTTGTTCTCGAAATTTAACTATGTATTATTGAGTAGTTTTGAGTTAATCTTTAAATTTGAATTTAAATATCAGTGTATCAATGTCATAAACTACTAAGCTGCCGCAGTGGTTTCTACAAAGATCTGTTTCAGAGACAATATTTAGATCTCGATTGAATGAACTGGTTAACTGATCGGACGAATATATTGCCATAACCTATATTATACGTTACAAATATGTAAGTAAGTAAACTATCCGTTTATTTAAACAAATATTTATCGAGACCCAATATATTATTGTTTTTAATTATTGTGATCAGACCACCACATTTAAACACAATTGTCACCAAAATAATTGGATAAACGGATACTTGCCCAGTACGGCCATACACCACGCCACGAGATTACCTAATGGAGACGATGGGAAAAGATAAAGACAACAAACGACAACCATAGAATGGGATGGGGTCCCATTCCATTACTTTACATTATCACAAATGAGTAAAATTATCAAAACGCTCAATATTGTGCAAAAATGCACTCAGTCGTCTCACTCAATGAATTCACTCCGTACCTTTATTGCTTTCACTCACACCGATTTTTTTTACATTGTACTTTATTTTCAAAATATTAAAGTTTATGAACTTTTGTCACCTTTCAGTCTAAGAACAACTAAGTGTAAAGGTAATATAAACTTACATTCTCTGTAATGAGCTGATCAAACTGGCAACGGAAATTCGGCATATTTGGGCCATAACAAATTCATTAATAGCCCTAGGGGCTTATTCATCACGTACAGTTTGAAGGTTTATTTGTGTTTGTGAACAGAATTCAACAGAAAAAAAATGTGTTGTTTTATTCCATTATTCGATACTGTAGAGTTCAAAAACGAGTTAAAACAATAGATATATTTTCTTTGTAAATACGTTCTATTCAACCTAGATTATTTGACGACATTTACAGAATGTAAGAATTAAGGAACGAAAAAATATATCATCTCGAGTAGAATATAGTGTATAAAGTATGGAATAAATTCATTATTTCGGAATATGGGATATTCCTTAGATAGGTCAATTTTTAAGTTAATTTCACATCTTTTAAATTTGTTTTTTTGCGGTGACGTCATCCACTTTTTTTAAATGGAACACCCTACACATATTTATATTATTGAACACTATATACCTACACTACCTTTCTTAGATGACTCAAAAGAAAAAATCTAGCAGTATAAGATCAGGCGACCTTGGTGGTCATTCAAGAGATTTATATCTTCCAATTTACTTATTTGGAGAAATTCGTTAAGATACCCTCACATACAATTGTTTATATTCAGAAATAAAATAGTCCAGTCGATATCTGTTTTAAAAGTAGGTTGTACGGATGTTTCACATAGTAACGCTAATTTTTGTTGGAAATAGTTCTAAATATTATATAAAATGATAATTGTGATATAAGCCAGCTGAAAAAGTTATGCATAATTGTTGGCGCAAGAAAATGTAAAAAAAAATAAAAAGGCGCATCTTTTTCCCTTCTTTGATGTATAACTCGGATAAAATTAACATTAGAGAAAAAAGTCAAAGGGAAAAAAGTTTCGTTTTGAGATTCTCCTCATAATAAAAGTGGTCCGAAATTTTTATGTGCATTATTGTTGCTGCAATACAGTACAAACCGAAAAAAAATCGTGAAAAAAGATGTATTCTTCATGAATTTATTTCGGACCTTGACTTTAGAGCAGTCATATAAAAAGTATGGTTCTGAGTACTTCATGATATGGTAGTGTCGCAGTAATTTTTTTCATCGAAAATCGGCCGGGTAGATTTCGCACAATTCAATTGTTAATTAAGAAAATACAGAATTATATTTATTTTTCAATTCTCTCTCACGGTAAAACCAATGATTTTTTGAGCTCCCAATTTTTAGACATATCCTTTGGAGTCCCAACTATTACATAAGTAATACATGAAAGAAGGGAGAAATTTTTTTTTTTGCGCTAACAATTATGCAACTTTTTCAACGGGCGCATATCGCCATTATCATTTTACATAATATTTAGAACTATTTCCAACAAACATTAATGTTACTGTATAAAACATCCATTCCGAAACAGATACCGACTGGACTAAAAGTACTAAAGTAAGTATTAGATGTTCTTGTAAAAACTGAAGATATATTTGTCCATTTATAGTGCCTTCGAGAAAATGGGGACTGAGTGCCATATTTTTAACTATTTCGCTTATTTTTTTCTTGTAGGGTATTATCATTGTACATACTCATTAATATTTAGAAGAATCTATATTTATGTATATACACGGTGACCAAAAATTAAACCTCGTATTCTTTGTTGAATTTTAATACTACTTTTTTAAGTTTGACACTTTGTATCTTTTTAACGAAGCGTCCTTGATAAAAACCTTATACCACCACCAAAATTCACCAAAGAATACGAGGTTTCATTTTTGATCAGCGTTTGTGAATCACCCTGTATAATAATAATAAGAAGAATGAAATCGATCTAATCTAGTTACTCTAATAATTGGAAGGGCCGCTTAAGGTATCTTACAGAACAGAAGCAACTACTCACCTCAGGACCAAAATCATCGAACGAGGTGTAACGAGGCAATCCAACTAATTCTCTGTAATCGTTGTAAGCCCTCAATCCGTGATCTCTTCCTCGCTGGATATTAACAGCGCCCAAATCGACCCCAAACGGATTTCCCGCTCGGAATAAATAGTTGGTGAGCTAATAAATAAGATCAGAAATTATAGGTAAAATTTGTCAAATATAATAATTTTAAACAGGTGACAGAAAACTTATGCGTTTGATATGTTATGACTATTACAATTATACAGAGTGAATCTTAAATGTATACATATACATATATTTCAACAACGGGTGTAATAAGCGATATACTTAAATCCAGTGAAAGTAGTAATTTATTTAAAATGTCCAAAATTTAGAGAAATGCTGTCCACAGGGAAGGTTTCAATTTTCGTATGCAAACAAAGCCAAAGTCAGGTGCCAAGACGATGCAGAAGCGCATGCGACACCCCACCTTTCCAAAATTCTCCGCGATGAAGCCAGGATGAGACGATTCCTTCGGATGATGACAACGACGCACATCAGATTTCTTCCCGCCAACATTTCAAAAAAAGTGGGCGAAAATAAGAATGTCCCAGAATCTTCAAATTTGCACCCATAAATGACCTTAGGGCCTGTGATAACCATACCAATTGTCAGCCCTTCAACCCTTAAGAGGCTCCCTTAATCGTCGACGATGCAGTTTTCTAAATCTACAATTTTTTGGATCCAGACGGCACCACACACTAGGCCGCCTGGCGGAATCTACATCATCAGCGTACGAACGTCAGCCCAGGAACACCGCAGAGTGTGTACTTGATCTAAATTGTTTACTTGTATCGTATAAGCAACATAAACATTTGATTCCATCGCTACTACAAATTTAATGCATAATAAAGCTCATAAATTCCTAAAAATACATGTCGAGTTATAATTCTCTCAAAAATAATCAAACCGAGCTCAAAGCTCACACATCGCTCTTATGCTGCCATTTATACTTAGCTCTTACGCCACCAATTTTATAAAAGCTTATAAAGCTTACCTACCGGCACTCTGATTTATTAAGAAAGTCCAAAATTTTGTTTATTAATTTAGAACATAAAACACAAAAGTGAACACCTCATTGGTTTTTATTTAATACTTTTTACACACATATACAAAAATAGTGAATATTTAATTTGAAACATTTACTTTGATTGTGTACAAATATGTTTTAAATATGTATAATAAAATAATTCCCACTAGTACGTAATAACTTGTATAGTACTGACTGTTTGCTTACCGCAACGCTTGTCTAGAAAATCATGTGAGCAGTTAGTTTTTTGCTATGCTGTCAAGTTAAAGCTTGATAGATGACCACATAGTTAACCTGACCCAAAAGACATTGGGATTGGCGTGTTCAGATTAATTAGATTAAGTACTTGTTTATTTTTCTTAAAAATTTGTTAAGATGTGTTACACATGTTGTTAATTAAGGCCTACATATTGCCAATAAAGGATAATTGTCGTATCCATAGTGTAAAGTGTTTGTTTCAAAAACATTATCAAAAAATAACATCGAGCCAAACGATATGAATCTGGGCTCGTACCTACCTATTTATACCTTTATTATCCTGTTATAATAGTTTAAACAAGCCACCTGTTTTTTTTGTTACGTGCCCCTAGACTCGAGAACTAAATTCATGATTCATGAACATTAAAGCTTCTACATTGACACAGAAAGCTAAAGATATTGATAAAGTACCGCAATTAACTATCACTTTGGGGCCAATCGTGAAACATACATTTGAATTTTGAATACAATTTTACATTTAATTGAATTCAATATTTCTATTTATCAAACTGCAACAATTAAATTATAATAGTTTTTTTTATATATAAATAGCCCAAAAAGATATATGTTAAGCCATGATTTTGGTGTAGATAAGAACAATAATTATTGTAGTACTTAGTCAATTTGACATTACTGAGAGTTAAAATCCCTATATCTTGATAAAGTACCTCTATAATCAGTGCACTTGTCTTATCCAAATATGGAGGCATATCAATTCTTGCCTCTGATATATAAAAAACCATTAAAATTTAATTGTTGTATTATAGATACAATAAAGTCAGCAGTCTTCTTCAAGTCTTTTAATAAAAATCTATGTATTTTAAGTTTGATTTGTATTCTATTAATTTTTTGTAGAAAAAGAAAACTATTGATTACACGGTCTACCCAGTAAACTGCATTGTTTAAAAATATGTACACATTTATATTTCACCCTGTATGTATTATTATAAAATGAACTTACAGCTGCAGACAGAGATTCATCAACATCCTGAATAGGTTCTGTAGTCAACGTGGTCAGTACTTCATCTAAAAATGTACGCATTCTCATACGACCTGGATAAAACATTACTTCTGGAATGAATATAACTTCTTCAACCTTTTTTGGTCCAAACAATCTGAAAGAAATAACACAATATAATTATATTTGTGACAAGTTGATAAAAACTGTACTTCTGTTTATAATATCTATTAAGTGTGGCGACATAAAGAATACATTAGTTATATTATTGATCAGATTAGTAAAAATTATAATGTTAACTACAACATTTACCAGAGGCACTTACTTAAGCAATCCATTTACCATTGAATGTCCAAATCTATAAGCGGCGGTGGAAAATTCGTTAATAATAGAAGGTTCTACATATTCATCATAATCAAAAGAATATTCGTAATCGCTTTTCAGATATAAATCGAAATCTTCCATGGTCAAATCACCTGAAATTTAACGAAATAAATTGTTGATATTAATCGCAACATAAAAACAAGATGTTTATTTACCTAGCAATACTGGTAGAAATTCTTTGTAAACAATGACCTGTATCTCTGAAACAACAATTTGACGTGCCTCTAGAAATATTGTCTCGTCATCCCAGTGACGATTCAAATCCTTTAAAACGTTAGCTATGCGGTTATGTTCCCTCATAAAAATCGTATGGATGACAACCAGTGTAACCATTTGATTTGTTCGAGTATCGCCTAAAAAACAATATTAAACTTCTGAAAACTGAATCTAACCCAACTTAAATTAAAAAAAGATAAATAGTCAAAGAGCTGATGAAATAGTCAGATAACTGACAAAAGTATTACAAAAAACGAGAGTTTATTAAACAATTAGAGATATCAATGAAAATACTTTTTTATTCAGAACTTCTAAGTAACATTTCCTGTTGCCGCAACTTACACCGGGTGTGGAGTTGATACTGTAATAAAAAGACAGTATTTTATTAATATCTTATATCAAAAAGTTATATCTTCAACAACAATAATTATACAACGGAGAAACATTAGTACCTACGGTTCTGAATGAAACAAATTTTTGCATAACACAGGCCGACAAAAAAAAGTTTTTGTCTTTTAGATCAGACCCGATTTTTCCTATGTATTTTGATGTTCTGAAAACGAATTTCAGTGTTAGAAGAAGTTCTGATGCAAGGACTTTCCACAAATCACCTTCAAATGCGCGATATTTCAGGTTTCTGGTATTTTTTGGGTAACCTCATGCCACTCATCAAGACTTAAATGAACAGAATTCTGATTTTCAAAGTTTTTGTCTTAAGAGACTACCTATGAAAGGTTAAGGTACAGATTTGCAAGCTATGGAATATCATCAATTATTGTTAATTGACTGTCAATACACTGTCAATATAGATAGGGTGGTCAAGACCTCCATTTTCTCAATAGAACTGGGTGTCTGCGAATCTCTACTAAATATAAAGTGGTGCAAAACTGTTAATAATATGGAAGTATTTATTAAGTAATTTGTACACATTAGTAGACCTAATTTCAAATTATACCAATTTAATAAAAAAATATTACAAAATACTGAATTTCATCTCTTAACATCATCAAGAGTTGGTATATACTATCAAAAAAATGTAGATTTGAGACATTATTTTTACAATAACTCTCTTAATCTAAAAGTTCATCATTTTCAGAACACGCTGTATAGCGTCTAATTAATTTCAAGATTGTATACCTAATTAATCATTTATGAGTGATATATTTTAGTTAATTAAAAACCAAGTCTGAGTAAAAAATGACTTAATAATAGTTACATTTAAATCATTTTAGAGAAAAAGTCAACTCTAAATTGGTTTCACATACTCAGAATAGAGTCAAAACTCACTTGGATTTGANCGTTTATTATAAGCCCCTTTACCATTTCCACTTATAAAAGTCCAGGTAACAATTTTTTTTTCTCCTATAAATGAGTTATTTCGATCGGTCTACTTCAAATGGGCGATATTTCAGGTTTCTGGTATTTTTTGGGTAACCTCATGCCACTCATCAAGACTTAAATGCACAGAATTCTGATTTTCAAAGTTTATGTCTTAAGAGACTGCATATGAAAGGTTGAGGTACAGATTTGCAAGCTATGGAATATCATCAATTGTTAATTGACTGTCAATACACTGTCAATATAAATAGGGTGGTCAAGACCTCCATTTTCTCAATAGAACTGGGTGTCTGCGAATCTCTACTAAATATAAAGTGGTGCAAAACTGTTAATAATATGGTAAAGTACTTATTAAGTACATTGTACACATTAGTAGACCTAATTTCTAATAATTATACAAATTTAATAAATTACAAAACAAATATTACAAAATACTGATTTTCACCTCTTAACATCAAGGGTTAATATATACTATCAAAAAAAATGTGGATTTGAGACATTATTTTTACAATATCTCTCTTAATCTAAAAGTTCATCATTTGCAGAACACGCTGTATAGCGTTTAATTAATTTCAACATTGTATAACTAATTAATCATTTATGAGTGATATATTTTAGTTAATTAAAAACCAAGTCTGAGTAAAAAATGACTTAATAATAGTTACATTTAAATCATATTAGAGAAAAAGTCAACTCTAAATTGGTTTCACATACTCAGAATAGAGTCAAAACTCACTTGGATTTGAGTAAAACTCACTCATTTCTGATGCAATGGTTTCACTCAGTTATACTCGTACTAATAGAGTAAAAATTTCACTCAATTGGGTGTGGACAGAAATTGATACATTATTGAGTAAAATTGAGAGAAAATTTGTACCTATGTGCGAATTGTTTCTACAGAGCCTTCATAAATGTTTACAAGCCACTTCATCGCCAAGCTTAGGCAACCCAACATTTCACGAAAAATTCCTAAATCTTGGCGTCACCAATATTAATGATTCGTTTACAATGAACAATAGCAAACCGTTACTTTTACACTCGAGATAATACGATCGCTGATTGCTTGAATAGATTCTCGTGAACAATTACACCAATCGCAACTGGTGAAACAGAATGTTATGTTTTAATGTAATCTTGATCTTATTGTTTTTATTTTACCGAAAGTAGAAGGAAATAAAATTAGTGTTCGAAACAAAATTCCTGGTCACGTGGATTGCAATCATTTATGAAGGCTCTGTAGTACGATATATTGGTATAGAACCGGTCTTTATTGAAATGAAATATTCTGAGAATTATATGGTTATAACAATTAATTATATTTTACTTCATTTACCATTTTGTTAATTTTAAATTTTATTGTCAGTAAACCCCAAACCCTCTACAAAATCTGAATTAGTTTTGTAAAAGGTAATAGTAAGCAAAGGTGTGGGCAATGAGTTTTATTCTGGAAAAATTGTCAGTTATATCCTATATGAATTGTATTACCGGAACTGAAACACGCAGATCCTCTTTCCATTGTTAAACATGCATCCGAATCTTTCGTAAGGGGTAACAATTCTCTTCCATAATCGTAGAACACCTTTAGTTTTCCACCTTCAAAACTCCTAAGTTCTGACACTTGCTCAAGTGTAGAACCATATATTGCTGATCCATCAATAAAATGCGTAACTTTATTCATCTATAATACAGTTTACGAATAATACAGGGAATATTAGTTCAATGTCAATATTACTCATTAAAAATACAAATAAATGCGTTTTTCACAATCAGGAAATTAATTGTATGTATAATTATTAAAGAACTTAGATTTAACACGTTCGTATATCTGATAACTACATAACCCCACAAAAATGTTCTGTATTAGAGACATGAGTACATAGATATTGTTGGTTTATTGATACAGAATCCGAATGCGTAGCCTAAAAACTGATTTACCAGATCATTTTTAGTAAAATACTCAAACATCTTCTAAAATAGTGAAATAGTGAAGATAAGGTAAATTACTGCTGGGATTGGTAAGAGCATTTGAGAGAGACAGGAAAATAGATCTAATGAAATAAAATGATATTCAATCCGTCGCGTCTCGACAGACTTTAAAATTGTATTGTAACCATTTTACTTTCAATACTGATATCCTAGGTAAAAGAATTGGCATAATTATTAGAGAAAGCCGCTTCTGTAAAAGCGCAGATTTGCTGCGATACGTCTAAAATTGTTAAGTCGTAACGAAACAGAAAACATTTTTGCGTAAAAACTATGGATACTACAAGATTATATCAAGAGTACGAAAATCTCGAAAAAGGACTGATGCATCAATAAAAATAAAATGAATTGATTCCAACGATCAAATAAAAAGTTCTAGTAATTCTTGTACCAAGACACTCTAGAATTTACCACTTGCCCAAGGCGGATGGATGCGGTTGCTTCAACAAAACGTGAGTCTTATTTAGGAACAAGTCCACAGCAAGTTTCATTAAAATTCATCGTAACATTCTCCAGGTACTTCTTTGGCAATCAATAGCAGAGGAACAAGTCATTTTTTTCTTAATAGAGGTCAGATCGTCTTCTTTTGAAACAAAGAATGTCGCAGTTCCATTTTTGATCATGTGCTTATGTAACACCCTGTAAATTTAGTAGTATAAAATACAAGGCTATGGTTTTTCATATTGTTTAGTGGAATTAGCCCCCTCGTACGGGTAAGTGTAGATTTAATTTGAAAATATTTCTTTCTAGTGCTCAAAATGTTATTTTAAAATGTTTTTTCAAAGTATTTATAAATTGCTGCATTTCATTATAAAACTTTATCTTATCCTCACTATTTCACCCTAGGTATTTTAGAGAATGTTTTAGTGTTTTACTAAAAGTAACCTGCTAAATTGGTGTTTGGACTGCGGATTCCGATTCAGCATAAAAAAATACTCAAAATCTATGTCTCTGATACAGAACTTTTTTTTGTGGAGCTATGTTATCTTAGATACCTACGTGTGTTTAGATATTTTGAAAATCCTCGAATTAGTAGTTGTTCACTTTTAAGGGAAGTATGTTTAAACACATTCCATTTTCTGTAAATTATTTACCTGTTGTGCATATCCAAGCGTGCAATCCTGCCTAGGTGACAGAATCGATCTAACAAAGTTCATACAGTGCTGATTAAACACACCAAAAAATTCATCGTTTCCTGGAATCTGTATCGGCATACAGGCGTAATGTCGATGCTCAATGGGAAGTGCATCGGCGCCATCTTGAACACAGCATGAAATAGCGCTGCCATTATCTGGAAATCGAGAAAGGGCGTAAAGGACAGATCTTTCAAGATTGATCTTAAATCAGCGAAGATATCCCATGCGTGCTTATCTCTATTACCAGAGAGGCAATAAATGGAAGAGAACTATACACGCTGTTCTAAAATTAATGAAATGTAGAGTATTAATTTGGAACATCAATTACCTTAATTGAAAGGTTAGTATTAAGAGGAAAAAACCTTTTTATCAAATATATCAAATTGATAACAAATATACATCTAAGGAATAGATCCAAATTTACTTCATTAGGACATATGAAGTGGAAACTTTTTGAACAATTTTTCAAAAAAGTAAAGAGGGCTAATAGTCTAGAGCAAAGTAGCTTAAATTCATCTTTTTTCCAAACGAAACAGCTACATTACCCATTGATTTGAGAAAAAGTAAATCTCTATACAGAGTGTTTCGTTTATATTTAAAAAATTATATATCATACCATGGAAGCGAGTTCATCTTGGAAAAATAATGGGGGTAGTTCATATAAGCTGTTTCTCATTGACGGTGTATTTCTGAGGCACAGAGATGTTAAAGGTGTTACTTTGAAGATGATTATTCTTAATTAGATATATTTTTACCGCGCTAAGATAAAAATGTCAAAATGTGTACAAGAATAAATATCAACTGTGATTTGAGAAAAGCACATGCACGCCATTTTATTCCTAATAGTACTAGGCTATTGATTATAGGATTTTAAAAGGAACTATGACGTTCAAGATATTTTATTACATGAATCGTTCAAGTGGTCATTTTAGATGAAAAAACCGTGGAGTGCTATTAAATTAGAGGGTGGAAATTGGAGATAGAGGTGAATATGCACCAATTTCAGTTTTTTAATTGTAGCTCGAACGAAGCAAAATTTCGCTATAGTTCATAGGAACAATTATTTAAAGAATTGAATTTCCCATCGGAAACGGCTTATTTAAAAAATTTAAAAGGAAAATTTTATGCAAAAAAGTGTTAATAAACAATTTGAAAAAAGCTAAAAATTCGATTTTTTTATTTTTTTTTACTTTTTTGGCTCTAGTTTTTTTTCTTTGAGTAAAGATAGGTATAGGCATTGCTTCATAGAAAAAAAGTAGATAAAATTTTCTTCAAAATAAGAGATTGTAAAATATTTTTGGATGAAAATGGACTGATATATGGCCGCTCAAACTTACAATTAGCCAATTTTTCGATTTTCGTCGCGTTTAGCCTTATACGATTTAATTGTTATCTTTTGTAAATAAGGATGGACATGAGACGTTCAAGGATTTTCATTACACGACTTGTTCGAAGGGTCATTAAAAATTAAAAAACCGCGGGGTGCTATTAAATTAGAGGGTTGAAATTGAAGATAGGGGTGAAAATGCACTTTTGTAGTTTTTTAAAGATAACACGAAAACGAAGCAAAATTTCGGTACAGTTCATAGGAAAAATTCTCATATAGAATTTAATTTTCTATCGAAATGGCTCATTTTAATAAAAGAAACATTTTATGCGAAAAATCGTTAATAAACAATTTTAAAAAAAGGAAAAAATAAGATTTTTTGATTTTTTTACATTTTTGACCCAAGTTGTGAAAATCTTTATTTATTATTAACAAATAAAACTTTTGAAATAATTTTTTATTAAGTAAAGAATTTGTTTGAAAAAATAATAAGAATTATAATCATTATTATGTAAAAACGACGAAAATCTAAAAAATATTTAAATTTGACCGGTTATAACTCAGTCAATATTAGTCCAAATACTTTTGAAAACGCATCATTGTGAAGGGAATCTTATCTAGTTTTCTTATACAGCAATTTTCTTTGCCTACTTCTACTAAAAAGTAAAAAAAAATGAAAAAATCTTATTTTTTGCTATTTTAAAATTGTTATTTAACGACATCACATACAATTTTTTCTTTTAAATTTTTTAAATAAGCCACTTCGATGGGAAATTCAATTCTCTACAAAATTCTTCCTGTGAACTATACCGAAATTTTGCTTCGATTTCGTGCTATATTTAAAAAACTGCAAAAGTGCATTTTCACCCCTTTCTTCAATTTCAACCCTCTAAGTTAATAGCACCCCACGGTTTTTTTTCATTTTTAATGACCCTTCGAACAAGTCATGTGATGAAAACCCTTGACCGTCTTATTTCCATCCTTTTTTGAAAAAAAAAATGAGAATTAAAACGTATAAGGGTAAACGCGACGAAAATCGAAGAATTGGCTAATTGTAAGTTTGGGCGGCCATATATCAGTCAATTTTCATCCAAAAATACTTTACCACCTCTTATTTTGAAGGAAATTTTATCTACTTTTTTTTCTATGCAGCAATGCCTGTACCAATCTTTACTAAAAAAAACTAGAGGCAAAAAAGTAAAAAAAATCAAAAAGTCAATTTTCTGCTTTTTTTTCAAATTGTTTATTAACGATGTTTTGCATAAAATTTTCATTTAAATTTTCTAAATTAGCCATTTCGATGGAAAATTCAATTCTCTAAATAATTTTTCCTATGAACTATAGTGAAATTTTGCTTCGTTTTCGAGCTACAATTAAAAAACTGAAAAGGGTGCATTTTCACCCCTATCTCCAATTTCCACCCTCTAATTTAATAGCACTCCGCGGTTTTTTCATCTAAAATCACACTTTGAACGGTTCATGCAATAAAATTGCTTGAGCGTTATAGTTCCTTTTAACCCTGTTTTTTGGATATAATCAATAGCCTACACCTATTAATCCCGATAGTTTGAGGGGTATACCTAATTGAAGGAAAAATTAAAGTATATTAAAACGTGGCAATTTAACACCCACGAGTCCAATATTTATACTTAAATGTGGTAATACTTCTACCTAAATCAAAACTGAACAAGTCCTTGTTTTGGACATTGACAGCTTCTATGGACAGTTTGTGCCATCTTCAAAACAATAGGAGAAGTATACATTTTATTCTAGGTTTCTAGTTCTTCCAGAAAACTCACGAGTTCTAGATCTTAGAATTCAAATGGCAATGCAGATGCCACAAAAAATAAAAGTGGCTCAGAAATAAGCCTAATTCGAGGCGTTATTCGGTTTTTATTATTGCAACTTGTCTTTATCCTGCCTTTTTACATTCCATTTTTATAAAATGTAAAGTGAAGAAAGCTTTGTTTCGGCTGCAGAAGGTAGTGTGGGTTAATCAAAATTGAACAAGTCATTATATTACTGAGGGCAAATCTAAACAAGTCCATTCTTTCTTATCAAAACTGAACAAGTCCTGATATTTCTTGCAAATTGTTTGAAGATGAATCACTATTATTTGTTCATTCTTGGTTAATGTGGTTATCAAGATATTACTAGCTAAATTCCCAAACATATTTTTTTAGAGCAAATGGAATTGCCCTGAGAAAGAAGTGTATATTTTGAAAAATTGTCTTGGACTTGTCAAGTTTTGCACGGGAGGTCCTCATCAAATATGCTAAAAGTCTAAATAACACAAAAGGATAATACAAAAATAGATACACTAGTTGAAAATTTATAGGATGTACAAAAGGATGTTATTATGAATTCAATATAATTTTAATTGTTATAAGTATCAATCAATAAAATTGTAAATAGTAGTGAAGAAGTGTTTTAATTTCAACTTTTCAAGAAATAAGAAAAAAAATTATTTAGGAAATCATGATCTCAAATTCTTGAAAATAACAGTTTTGTTATTCTAACTGTCAATTAAGGTTAGTCAATCACCTTTTTAACTTAATTTGTTGCCATACACAAAAATAAACAGCTGTTTAAACGCTAAATAAAAAATATAGAAAGCAAAAATTAACAAATACTTATAGTCCACAGTACAAGCCCCCCCTGGAAAGTTGATTACCACATACTTATAACTCCTGAGGAGCTTCGTTTTGACGAGTCTACCACATTTTTCCTCTGCGACTTTTCTCGATTCCTCCGCTTTTCCACTCGGAAAAGTCCAAAAACATGGCAATTTCCCGGGGTCTTGAAAAGTCAAGACCACATCTTTTATTTTTAGCTTAAGTAACTGGAAACTTTGTTGCAAATACGGATTTAAATTTGTCCGACAGACATTCTTCCGACTTTGACGTGTCTACCGGTCGAAACATGCCAAAATAACAGGGTATTGAAAATCAATTATCACATAGGTAATTTTTAGTAAATTTAATTATAAATAATTAATTCAGTCAAAAAGTATTGTTGTCCGACAAATTTCAAGCCGCGTTTTTTCAGTCCGACAGCTGGAAATCGGAATTTTCACGGGGTGTGATAAATCTATTACCACATGTCGGACAAAAATAACACACGATAGAAAAGTGTTTTTTATAAGCAAAAATTGTAATGTCCGACAAAAATGTATCCGCAAATCGCCAATCCGACAAAAAATGATGAAAAAAATTTCGTAAAAAATGTGCACCTGTATTTATAATTTCTAATAAGGTATTTTCATGTATTAAGCAAAATTCCAGATAAATATACAATACAGGATGTTTCAGAAAGACCTCCCGTAAATACAGGGGGTGAGGACGACAAAAAATAAGAATTTTTTGTCATATGAACTATATCTCCTCTTGGTTTCGAGATATAGACCGACAAAATAAAATTTTTTAAATAACATTTTTATAAAAATTTCCAAACTGTGCGAAATATTTTTATGAAATTTTGTATTCCGAGGTTTTTAAGGATGCCAAATACGATGGTCTAATTATTTTTTGTATATTTCGTAGAGGGCGCTAGTTTTGCTACATTCCTATTACATATTAAGTTCTACTTTTTTTAAGGTTAGATTTTATACCATTGTGGCTCCAATTTCTAATGTACAATTTTATTTTCTAAAAACAATGTACTCTTGTTAGAACTTTCTAATGTGGACGATTTTCGAGAACAAAGGCTTTTAATTAAACTCTTACAATATTACGGTGTATAAAATAAGTGCCTGCCTCTATAAAAATAATTAGACTAGCGTATTTTGAACCCTTAAAAACCCTGGACTACCAAATTTCATAAAAATAT